AACTTGATTGACCATAGCGAAATTTTCAATAATAGATTTAGAATATTGTTCCAAAAGATATTCATGAATATATTCAAATCAAATCTTAGAATCAATTCATCAGAAGCAACCAACAAATCTAGAAACGTTGCACCCCATCGCCATGATCGGTCAAATCGATTTTGCCGCTGTAACACATAAAAGATAACGATAACGAACGAATTATAATTCACCAAAATATTTAGCCGAAAACGTCGTCGTTTAGAATCAACAAGTACAATTCCTAAAATAAGACAAGTGAAAGCAATATCCTACAATTTAAAAACCAACTTAACGTATTCTCTCTTATAAACCCTTGTAGAACAGTACGTGTTGATTCTAAAGTGTAAAAGATTTAGTTTGGCCCTAAGGATTTGAATCCATATATAGAGGGTGGGTCATGTGTATTACTTGATGACGACTGTAACTCTTCTTCGTACGTCGTGTCCGCCCCCCCATCGTATCATTTTTCATGCATAAATCGTTTTACATGTGAACGACGACGTATAAATCTTGCTATAATCTCTAATCAACTCAAAGATGACATCTAATAATCATTATTGTCGTGATTGCTTGACTTGTAGTTTAAAGTACTACTGCAAAGCGTGTTCAGTTCACAATATTCATGATTGTAGTAATAACTGTTACGACTGTCAACATTGGGGTCCCTGCGATGAGTGTTCAGTTCACAATACTTATGATTGTAGTAAATATACTCGTTGTCAAAAAAATGATGCCTGTGTTGAATGTATTCGATATCACAAACGAATTTATATGATTATTAAATGAATGAGACAGAATTGCTGGTGACTATAGTAGATCTTTCGAATGGATCCCTTTTGAAAGATTTACCAATGTTGAATATCTAGCATTTTGGAACAATTTATAAAGCATCCTGGTTGGATGGTCCATTAAATACAAGTATATTTGAGGGATGGGATCATGTAGAGAATAGATTTAAACGAAAGGGAAACTATTACATAATTCAAAGCAAATTACATCAGAGTTTAGAAACGAGATAAAATGAACATCTTCAAGTGTAAGCATATTAATTTTTTCAAAATTAGATTCTGACTGATCTTAAGTGCAGTCGTGGTTTTATTATGGAATAACTAAAAACTAGTGATGGATTATGCAAAAGATCTACGCAAATTTATGAATTCCAACTACGTATGAGGCATTGACTTGGGAACAAAAATTCAGTTATTTATTTAATAATATTATTGAAGGGTTGAATAAGATTCACAATAAGGAATTCGTGCATCGTGACTTTCACCCTGGAAGTATCTCAACTTGCTGACTTTGGACTTACCAAACCAGCAGATATAGAAAAAACTGATCAAAAAATTTGCGGAGTACTTCCTTATATGAGTTCAGAGGTACTAAATGGAAACCATACACTAAAGCTGCAGATATTTATGGCTTTGGGATGATTATTTACGAGATTGTCACAGGAGAACGACCATTTAGTAAACGAAGTCATGGGAATGATCTCATATTAGACATCTATTCCCGGATGGTGCAAATTTATTATTAAAAAATGTTGGGATCCTATCCCAGAAAACAGACCATCTGCTAAGGAACTTTTCGACTTTATCAACACTATCATCTGATCAACGACGAGAGGTGGTAACCGAATGATTACCATTTGACCGGTATCAACGACAAGAAGTTGAAACCGAATGATTTGCATTTTCAGTTAGAATCTCCTAAAACACACGAAATCAAAGAATATCTTAAACAGAAAGTATATGTGAACTTAAATATTGTTTTAAGTCAGAAAAGAAGAAATCATATAGAGTTAAGGAGAGTTGAACTAGAAAAGCAGAGATTTGATGAAATAAAATATCAAAAAAGCGTTCCTACGAATATGAACAAGAAACAAGCCATCCACTCCAATGCAGTTTACACAAGTCAAATGTTTACATCAAAATTAATTTCAATTCCAACTGACACAGGTACTTTCTATTTTTAAATACATGTATAGTTCAGATTAAAATTTTACGTTAATTAAAGTTTATATCGAATGTTTAGGGTTGACAAGTGTCAGTTTGTTTGTTCCAGACGAAGGTAAATTATATTTAATATTATTATTCATTGGCTCATTAATTCAGTATCTTTTTCTTTGGTGTTGTAAAACAGATTTCGATTTAACGTTAACGTAAATACACCACCACATGAAATTAAAGAGAATGAGATCAACGAGATAGATGAAATCAAATGTAAAAATAATACTATTTACTATGATCTGATTTCTAATGTTTAATATTTATTAGTTTTCGCAATATTTATTGAAAATGTCTTTAAGAATCTAAAATAGTAAATTTAATAAAAGGATAAATTAATATACGTTATAAGTATAAAGAAATATGAATGTAAGAAATGTTTTTTGGATTAAAAATAAATTAATAATAAAAAAATGAATTAAAGGTTATCATTAAAATGAATATATTTTTTCGAAATCAAATTATTCAACAAGCTCTGCTGCTCGTTCATGGGCCTTTTGGTGACATTTTAATGCCATATTGAGATATTTAGGAACTCAAAGTCATATTGATAACATTCTGCCAATTTGAATTGAAAGTAGACATGAGTAGATTCTGCGGATCTTACATACCATTCAAATGCTTTCTCTCGTTTCTATTTATTCCATTTCCTTGAAAGTAGCAAGAAAATGTTGAGCATATCAAGCATTAATATTTTCTGACTCAGCTGCTTTCTGGAAACACAAAAATGCTTTCTCCATAGCCCTATTGCGCTGTTGGCTTCTTTCAAAGTTTTATATTAGCAAAAACTGTTACAACGCGGCAAACAATGGCAACAGCAAAGTATATCGTATAAAAATATTTTGTTATTGGACTGGACTATCGGACTGAACTGAATTGGACCAAGTTTTATTGGACCGGACTACAATTGGACCAATGAATAAATCATGTGATTAATAAATAATGCTGTACAGTCAAACCTCGTTATAGTGAAGGTGTTCGGACTATTAGTGAAAATTTTCAAAAATTCACTATATTGAGAGTTTATTAATAAATTCACTATATCGAGAGAATTTAATATATACAGTTTTTGATTATAATGATCATAGCCAGTCAAAAATAGCCGATTGATTATAAATCACTGGCTACAATCACATTATAATTTTTCTCACGTATCGGTATTATAATATTCTAAATTAATCTAACTCTTTTTCCCTTAATTTACAACTTAGCAGGCATTTTTGAATGTTTAATGGTGTGGTGTTATATGATTTTTCTTGAAAGATCGTTGCTTTAAAATCTTTATATTACGATTTTTGATTGGAACTGCCTCCATGTTGTTTGTTTTTAATTCCTCTCGAGTTTTTTGTATCCATTCTCGAATAGCTGATTTTGTTTCTTCATTTTGTGGAATACTAATACGACGTAATATATTGGAAATTACGGGTTGGCTTAGTTTTGTCTTACCAAAAGTTAATTCTTGCAACGACACTCTAAGATAATCCCATAGCATCGAAGACTTCAATAAAAGTGGATGCGAGTTCTTCTTCCAATAAAGTTAGATTGCTTTTTGAAATATTCCATGTGTCGATTTGATCTGGATCTGAAACAGCCTTTCATTTTTGAGATTTGCTATAATGGTAAATATGATTTAGCCATATCTTTGATATTTAAAACAAAGCAACTTTTCAACAAAACTCACCTCTTGGTATGTAATCATTTTCCACCAATATGATTTTGAATATTGAGCCACATCTGATATCTTTGCTCCATATATTTGTCAATTGGCAACTTTCTTTTGCAAATATCAAAAGTTTTAATAATATTATTTTGTACTTCAACAGTAGCTAAAGTACGACGCTCCCTTTCTGCGATTTCAGGTACTAGATCATCCCCAAAATATAATTGTTTGCCACCAAGTTCGACGAAAATATTCCTGTAATCATGGACAATAAAATGGATTAATTATAGTATTATCAGCTTCTACTGAGACAATCACTTTGAAATGAATAGCTGGAATTTCTAGTTCATATTTTCTATTATTATTATTAACCAGTGTAAGAACTATTTTTTGCTGATCTGCTTGATTCTTGAAAGTTGCAGGTTTAATTATTTCTTTTAATTGATTTTTATCCAAGAAATTATTAAAAGTTTCTTGAGTATTATTATTGCTATTTTTGAAGTTATGTGAAAGTGAATGAGAATCATTTTCTTCATTGTCAATATTAAATTTGGCAAAATCTGGAGTGATCAAAGATTCATGTAATATAATAATTTTTTGATTTTCAAATTTTAAGATAGATTTTCTAGTAACCAATTCCATGTGTTAATAACACTTTCTGCTGCTAGAAATTGATATTTAACATGAACATACATCCATGCTTTCATTACAAATGACAACAAAGTGACTTTATTAATGATAGATAATATCTTGAAATTTGGAGACTGAATTTTTAATTACTTTAACATAATGTATATAACATTATGCTATATGTACATGTACTTTGTAATAATTACTTTTTAGTTCTTTTTTTAAATCTTGATATATTTTTTGACAGTATTTGACAATTAATTCATTATTATATGCTATCAAAACTGCATAAAGTATATTGAGATCACAATCAGCATTTATCAAATATGGTACTATATTATATTTGAATAAAGTATATTTTATTCAATGAAATTCAGATAGATAATATTCCAAATTATATTCATACAAATCATTTATTACTAATTCAAAAATATTAATTGGTGATACTGATTGTGATACTAATTATTCTTTTGAAGAATCTCCAAATTTCATAATCATATAACAATTAAGAGTTTGTGAGTTAACTTTTAAATCTTTATTTCTTGTGAATTTTTGCATATACAAAGCTATTGATTTATTATTGAAAATGATTATTTATTAATTATATTTTTTATAACACTAACTATAATTCATTTACTTACTCTACTAGTAATCTTATATAATCAATATAGATATTCAGATTCAGATTAGCTTTCTTATGATAATATGTAATAGTAATATTTGTATATATAAGTAAAGAAATTGATTGTGCTATAATTAGTTCTTGGAAAAAGTTCTATATTTTATAATTTTTGATAATAATATTATTATTAGTATTCAAAAAGCTGGCTTTATTTTGAGTATTAATTATCTTAAAGATAAAAATTAAAATATTTTTAATTGCTTATTTGAAAATTTTTCTAATATTTCTTATGCTTTTTACTCTGCAAGTGCTAATATTCTAAAAACTATATTAAATTTTGAAATTTTAAATATACAACATCAAAACTTGAAACTTCTTGATAATTTTCTACAAGTCAAGAATCTTTATTCATATTTTGTTCTGCTTAATATATTATATATTGAGATAATAACTTTTTTTCTTTAAATAATTCTCATATATTACCACAATTACTTTAAATGAAGAGTTTCTTCACTATTAGTAAAAAAGTTATATGAGTTAGGAAAGAGGAATAGACTAATAAAATTTATAAAAATACTTTCTTATATGAAAAGTAATAAGATAAATTTATTAATTACTATAAATAAATTATATCAATTGAGATAGTTTTCAGTTTTAATTTTAATAAAACTTATTTCTTTATTTATTAAATAGTAAAAAGATCTAAAGAGAAATAGTACAAAACAGAGATATTTAAATATATAATTGAGATTTTATGAATTACAAATAAATTAATAATAAAATAGAGAGCGATTGGTTCTAAATTATTAATCTTAAAGGTGACACATCTCCAAGTTATGTTATACTTAATGAAATATATATAAAATATAAATAATAATAAAAAATAATTAATATAAATTAAAAATAATAAAAGAAAAAGAAAATGAATAAAAATAAAAGTAATTAAAAACAATGTGTATCTAAATTAATAATATGATCTATATTTTACATCTAATTTATTTAGTGTAATATTAAAAAGTATTAAATATAGATCTGTATTAATTTCTAATATATTATACAAAAATTGATAAATATAATACGAAAAATGATAGATATAATACAAGAAATTACAAGAGTATATAAAAATTGTTACAAAATTAGTCATTACAAAAATAAGTATTTAAGCCTGTGCCAATTTTGACAGAAATTGTTAAACAATTCTATCAAGGATGAAAAAAGGAGTTGGGTAAATGTGTTCAAAGAGATAATTAATAAAAAAAATTACTAACTAAGAAAAAGAATATTGATATTTCTATACTTGTAGTCATATATTCTAGTGCTTTCAATACCAAAAAAAACAAATAACTAAAAGAAATATTACTTATTTAAAGTTACGGTGTATAACTATACAAACTAATATTACTTATTTAAAGTTATAATGCACAACTATACAAATCAATATCACTTATTTAAAGTAACAATACATAATTATACTAAAAATAATACTATAGCAAATTAATATACTTATTCAAAAATACTTAATCATCTTTTCCAAATTCAAAGACAAAAGTAATAATCATAAATTTAATTCTATACAAATGAATATTTGGTTTCTTGATCTCATTCAAGATTTATGAAAAGTGACTTGAATTATAAGATTTGAAGTTTAATTAACAAATTATTTTTGCCAGATAACTTGTTTTGATAGAAGAAGATACAAGGATAAATATTAATTTTATAACAATAAGACAGTCATTAACTTATTGTATCAAGATTAAAATTTATTAATTTGTTTTAGTATTGAAATATGAGATTGAAACATGAGAGAATACTCTTATTTATACAAAATTTCTCAATATATTTTAGTTCTATTTATATTATAAAATTATAAAAAGATATATATAAAAGATATAAAAGATAAATAGAAAAAGGTAAAAAAAGTAGAAAGTAAGAGTAGTAAAGATAAAAAAGATAAATAATAAAGGTAGAAAAGATAAAAAAGTAAATAATGAAGATAGAAAAGGTAAATAATAGAGGTAAAAAAGGTAGAAAAGGTAAATAATGAAGATAGAAAAGGTAGTTAATAAAGATATAAAAGATAGAAAAGATAGATAAATAAGATATAAAAGATAAAAAAGATAAATAAATAAAATATAAAAGATAGAAAAGATAGAAAAGATAGATAAATAAGGTATAAAAGGTAGAAAAGATAGATAAATAAGGTAGAAAAGATAAAAAAGATAGATAATAAGAGTAAAAAGGTAAATAATAATAATAATTATATGATTATTAAATAATTAATATATATATACTATTTTTATCAATTTGTTACTTTGTTACTATTTTTGAAGATTTTCATATTTTTTACTATTTTTGAAAGATTCATTAATTACAGAATTATTAAAAATAAATGTAACAATATTCTTTAATATTGTCATATTGGATGTTCTTAATATATCAATAGATACATTAGTTATTTGCAAACTTAATATTGGTATTAATATTAATATATCTAATATCATAAAGATTATTATAAGAAAGCTTGAAGCTAAATTATATATGATCTGAATCATGATGTTTCACATATCCTTGACAATAAAGATATTTGATCAATTTACCTTTAATTAGTTAAGAGTCTCTACAAGCAATTGCAATTTGGTTGAAAAAATTGTGATTGTTTCTGAATTTTATCATATATGAAATGGTGACTTTGTCTTTAATTACACTATTTATAGATTTGTATTTCAAAGTCCAACGTATCTATTATATGTGCGAGAATTTCTGATCTCAGAATGATAAACATAAAGTCTTGAGCTGAATCATAATCTTTAGTAGGATTATCTGGTAAAGTTTTTTTTGGTATCTTTTTATTTTTTATATTAATTCGCATAAATTGTCCTGCAAGTTTTTTGAGCTCTTTACATGATTCTTTAATTGTAAGCTCAGTTAATAATATAGGTTTTTTGTAAAAATGTTATCTTTATTGAAAATTTTCTAATGCAAAGTAATGATAAAATTTTAAGCACTTTTTCTAATACATATTTTAAATCCATATTCCATTCATTTGATAAATAATAATTTACTAACTACCTCAGGTGCTAAATGGTTTCTTTTAGTGATAATTTGAAAAATATTGGGATCCTATTTCAGTAAACAGACCAACCGCAAAAGAACTTGGAGACTTTATTTATTCGTTCTACTCAATCGATGATATTGACGAAGAGTGAAAACTGAATACTTTACATTTTCAGCATTATAGCTCTTTGGAATATCCTCAAATACATGAAGAATTAAAGAGTGCCTCAAACTAGAAAGGCAGAAATGGAAAGAGATGAAATGGCAAAAAAGCATTCATGTGAGCAAAAACAACAAATCCACTCAAATGCAACTTACATTAGTCAAATTTTGATCTCAAAATTGATTTTAATCCAACTAACACAGGTATTTTATTTCTAAATATAAATCACATTTACATTTCATATTAATTAAAATTCATATCGAATGTCTAGGAATGTCAAGTGTCAGTTTGTTTGTTCCAAACTAAGGTAAAATTATATTTAATAATATTTTTTTATTGACTTCATTAATTCACCTCTTTTAGATTGCAAAACAGAAATTAACGAGAATGGTGATCTATCGAGTTTCTTTTATGATGAAACACTTCCAATATCTGCTCTTTATTAAATGAAATTGGTAAGCATGACTTTATATATGCGTTATCGTTATAGAATCACATTAAAAGAATAAAAGTATATATATTTTTTTTTAATTTGTTAGCATCATCAAAAAACTTTAGTGTTAGAGATGATTCTAAATAATGATGGAACAAATTACATGTACAGTACTGTTACCGTAGTAACAATAAATCCCTTAATTCCGCAATAATGCTCAACTAAATTCTACATGAAAATCTTACC